TTTTGTCATTTTTTTTTTTTTGAGGGAGGGAGGGAAGGAGGGAGAGAGAGAGAGAGAATTTTAAGATTTATTTTTTAATTTTCGGCGGACACAATATGTTTATTTGTATGTGGTGCTGAGGATGACATTCAGATGTCTGTAAACTGCGTGGTTCACATAATGCTGACAAAGAATGGCAGATATGTTTTCAACCTAAAGCAGTACCACTTTAGTCACAGTAATAAATGTAAAATGTACAATTCACCTGGCCTGCCACCTCAAAATTACAGGGCTTGTGACTATAGTTTTGGTTTCATAATACTTATAATTTTGCTGAAGGGTAAGAATCTTAATATGGTTAATCTATACAACTTCAAACCTGCATAATTTATAATTACCCTAAGATGAGTAAGGCCTGGTTACTAATTTCAAAGATGGTGATTAATAAAACCTCTCCTGAATCAAATTTTTTTCTTTTGAAAACAGGAATAATGATACTAAGGTTTTGATCAAATCTTCACAAATTCTTGTCATAAATTATTTCTTAGAAAAAGTTAGATAATTACAAACTATTGCTCATTTCCTTTCATGTAATTTGATTGCTCTCCAACAGTAAAAGATAGTTTTGCATATGTCCATCTTATATTAAGGTCATTTTGTATATTTGTTATGATGCTAATAAGACAGATTGTTCACCCCCACACCTAACCCCTTCACACCTAACCCCATTCCTAAATAGGAATCTAGTAGACAGCTGCATGAGAATATTATATATTAAAAATACAAAATTACCTATAGACATAAAATCGAATTTCTAAAGATTGGTCTAGCATAGTCAGAAATACATTAATAAGTATGATAGGAATAAAATAAAATTTATATAAATACTATCGGGATCTTCCAATTTAAATTGTTTATATTAAAACAAACATGGGAAGGAAAGAACTAGCATAGAAGAAAAAGAGATAATAAGCTAAGTAAATTCAATCCCAGATGTGCAACTGCCCCCTGGTGACAGAATATTGCAATACACTCTGAAAACAATGCACAATTTAGAAGATCTATAATATGTCGGCAATAAAAATGTTCATGAATCTGGGTTGTTTACAAAATTTACAACTGTCATTTTTTAAAATTTATTCACTCATTACTTCATATCTGGTAAGGAATACAATGGGAATGGTTTTATCCCTCATCAGAGTTTACTGGGAGAGAGATACAAATACACAAGATACACAAAGAAATGTAAATTACCGGATTGTGATAAATGCTAGAAAAGGATAGTCTAAGGCAGATGAGTGGGGTAAAGAGGAGAGAGTTATAAACACCACTATCTTAGTCCATTTCATGATGCTATGACAGAATGCTACAGACTGAGTAATTTACAAACGAGTTCATAACTGGTTCAGGGTAACAAGAGAAACCCCACTAAGGATTAGGTGGCTGGGCGAACAAGGGTTTCCTTTTGTTATCTGAACCCATTATCCTCTATCGCAGCAATCTGCTCGTGTCTTCCATAGCATTTCTCATAATAATAGTAATTGATTATTTGCCCTTATATGATGTAAAGAAGTATACAAACTGAGACTTGATGAGAAGCAGCAAAGAGGCAATTTTGGGATGGGAGAGAAGACGCATCCCAACAGAGGGTAAAGTATGTACAAAGTCTCAAAAGCAGAAATTTCAGGTAAGTTCAAGCTCTAGATAAGAAGCCAGTGTGACCAAAGTAAGAGAAAGAATGAGAAATGGGAGAGAGGAAGAATAGTGGATGGAGCAGGTAATGCAGAGACTTGTAGGTTAGGGTAAGAAATATGGATTTGATCTAAGAGGAAGGGAAGTCACTCCTGGGTTTAATCAGGAGACTGACATATCTGTGTCATGATAAATCACCCTGGCTTCTGGGCTCAAGTGTAGAAGCAGGTTAGCAGCTTCAGGTATGCAATGACTGGCCAGCCCCAAATGACAACCATAGGGATGGAGTCAACAGTACACATTGGAGACACATCTTGGAGGCACAATTGACAAGAGGTGCTGATGGGCTGGATATAGCAAAAGCATAAAAGATGCTCCCAGTTTCAGGCTTGAGCAGCTGGGTGGTACTCATCAATGAGATGAGAGATGCTGAAGAGGGCAGGCATGCAGGATCAAAATCTGTTTAAATATATTGAGTTTAAAATACCTTTAGAGTTCCAAGAAGAGATGTAAAGTAGGGAGTTGGATCTGTAAGACCAAGGCTCAGAGGGAGAAAGATGTAAATTTAAGAGTTTATTGGGATTAAAGGTCATAGAATGGTTGAGGTTACACAGGGAAAAGCTGTAGACTATGGATTTGGTCAGTCACATGTGGAGTTTGCTGTTCACCTGTTGACTATAACTTATGACAAGGGCAATATTTAGAAGGTCTTCTATACTCAGCTTTAGGAATTAATGAAATAATTCCTAAATTATTATTATAATGTCATAATTGCCCTTTGGTGATGTCATAATTGCCTCTTCTTTATAAAAAATAACGTTCCAGACGTCTTGATTTTGTTTCTTTTATCTTTATTCTAAAAAGGAGTCTTAGACCTATTTCTTGTGAATTTCAAGCTTACATATACATACCAAATTTCCAAACATACTAGAGTCCTTGATCTTTAAAGCTTCTAAGTCTCAATATGTGAATTCTATGACACCAGCAGAATTTTTAATCAACCCTCTAAAGAGTGTGTTGGCATTAAATTTTCTATATTTCTGGGATATTGAAAGAAAATACTTTAGTGCTTATCTCTGTGATGTGATTATGGGAACTTTCAATTTCTTTTTTAATGTTTTTTTTTAATTGCCACAATGAATCTGTAATAATATCTATGTTAACAATAACAGCTAATATTTATTTAGCACTTACTTGGATTGACTCATTTGATCTTTACAGAAATATATGAGGTAGATATTAATATTATCTTCCATCTTACGGATGAGAACACAAGGTATAAAGAGGTTGGGTGCCTAACCAAAGGTCACACAGCTGATAAAACACAAGCCAGGGCTCTACTCTTAACCATGCCAATAAGTAGCTTTCAAAAATATATGTATTTTTGACTATGATTCATAGCATGAATTCTATTTTAGATCATGACCCAGTACAAAAATACTCTGTAAAATACCAAAACAATATTTCATAAAGATATAACACCCTTGCAAAGGATGGTGTGTTTTATAGGTTCTCTTCTTTTTCCTTTGAAATGCTAGTTGGAAGCCACTAAATTAATCTCATGACCCAATAATGGTCACTACTGGCAGTTTGAAAAACACTGTACTACAATGTATAGTCACAAATGATGAAGGAAAAAGTATTTTCCAAAAATTAAAAAGATATCTAAATATTAAAGTTGCCAAACACTTGTTTTAATTTAGAAGAAATTAACATAAGTCAGCTTGTGATAATTACCTATCCAAATAAGGTATTTTACTTTATTTTGAAAAAGATTTAGCTTCATGTGAAAGAGATTGAAAGCCATTTAAATAAATGTTTAAAATAAATTTTCATCTTCGTGATTATTTTGTTAAATAGTATACTTAACAATCTTTTGATAACCAATAAGAATAAATACCCTTCAGATAAACAGGCAAATAATTTGAGCACACAATTTATAAAACAACCTTTTTCTAGGCAATTCCATCCCCAGGAATTTATTGCAAGAAAATTACAAAACACATAGAAAAGAACTTCTTAGGACGCTCTCATTAATGTTATTTATAATACTTAAAAATTGAAAGACACCTAAATTTCTAGAGAAGACAACAGAGTAAATAAATCATGGCATACCTACACAATAGAAAAATATGTTTAAAGAATGCTAGTCCTAAAATCTTTATATAATTCAAAACTCAAGTTGAGATTAAATTTCTCATAGAAGTAAATGCAAAGAAAGGCAGGCAGGAGTACAGATGCATATTCTAGCAAATAAAAACATCAGCCATTGCAGATTGAGGTATGTATCTGAGTGCCTGTCTATAACTACATCATCAGTGCTGCTTGCCATTATCCTTATTCAAGAGATTTCTGTGAACTTAAAAACATTCCTACTTCAAAGCAATTTTTCTAAGCTCTTTCCCTATTAGTATCTACTCCTTAATTAATGGCACAGAATGTCAACATAATTGTTTAGCCTTCTTTCTCGTATGAAATTATGTTTAACTTCCCTCCCAAAGTTACTGATCTGGGAGTGTATTTCAGCACCATACCATTCACCAAATGAAAGTTTAATTAACACTGTTCTAAGTTATTAGTATTCATATTTAAATTTTTTCCAGCTACACAATATTCAAAAGTTCCAATGCACACAGCAGCATGGTTACCCATTTCTGTCAAAGATCAAGAAATATTTCTAACATTCTGACTCAGTAAATCTGGAGTAGACCTGAGAATCTACATTTTTCCAAGGTGATGTGGGTGGCAACAGTCAAGAGAACACTCTTTTGAGAATGACCATTCCAGACAGAGATGGTACTTGAGCAAAACTGATCCTGAGAATCAATAGGCTTGAGGACCTGTAAAATGGCAGCTGCTGAAACATGGGCTTCATACATGTGGTTAAGGAATATGTCAGAAGTACAGAAATGAAAACTCTGTAAATAACACTTTTTAGGATAAGTTACCCTTCCTAGGAAAGTGAGTTGACACTTATCATAAATCAAAACTATTTAAATATGCTTCTGTGACATGATATTGAAAGACACCTAATAATGATATTATCTCCAACCTTTAAGTTCCACTCCCTATTCTCAGCTTCACATCACACAGATAAACAGTAAGGTGATAAGGTCACAGTAGATTTCTGGCCATGTGGCTATTTAAATTCTTTCCAAAGAATTAAAAAAACAGTATCACTCCATTCTCTATAATGAAAACACAATATTAGCACCTCCTAAATCTTAATATTTTATGTCATAAGCTACAGGTGAAAATTCATCAAAGAAAAAAGTTGAACCCTATTCAATAGTTCCATTTATGAATTTAAAGAAATGTTCCATACTTACCAAAACCATCAATATCTAGATTATTTTCAACCACAACATCTAGAAGAGAGTCACCAACTTTTCCTTTGGTTGTTAATGTTACACCATCATTGTTTATAAAGTGGACTGTTATCTTATCTTCTGAGCTGGAAAAGAAAGCAGTTGTTCAATGTTCTTAGTAATTTCAAAATACAACTTCAAATAATCATTTTAATCTGTAAATTCAAAGAAATAAAGCATGTGCACGTTATAGGAATACGCTCTTTTACAGTATTTTCTTTCCTTTCCAAAGTTTAATTTGGTCTAACAGGATGGCACAAACCTTTAATCCCAGTGACTCAGGAGGCTGTGTGAAGAGGATCGCAAATTTAAGGCCAGCCTTAGCAACTTAGCAAGACCCTACCTCAAAAAATAAAAAGATCTGAAATGTAGTTAAGCAGTAAAGTGCCCTGGTTCAATCCCCAGTACCAAAAAAAAAAAACAACTAACTCAATGAATGTGCTCCTGGAAGACAAGACTAGGTTTGTGATGAGCTTTTAAAAAAAAAAAAAATTTGCTCTCAGTAGTGTGATCACTATCCAGATGCCTGATAGAATAAATGCCACAGAAGCAGAGAAGAGATTGCAGTCGAGAAACAACAGTTTCAGAGTTTTTTGAGTATCTGAGCATTTCATTTGGGTTGACTCTGTATACCCAAAAATCAATAGAACTACAAAAGGTTTTTAATTATTTACTTGCTTGAATCTTTGAAAGATAAATATATCCTTTCACATTTTACTATATTATCTATCAGCAAGCTGACTTAAATTTCTTTTCCTTCTTATCAACGCCACTACAAAATTTGGCAAATTATAGTAGCGATTAGCTCCTTATCCTCCACCATTACCATTTTACCTTTTACATCACAATTGAAAAGATGTATTTTGACTTAATAAGTTATAATTTTCACTACTAGCAACAGATGGTAATAGTCTATCAAATAAAATTTTAATATAAGCCAGAATTAAATAATTTCAGAGCTGAAAATTATCAAATCTAATTATCTCATTTCACAAATGAGGCAAATGAAGCCCCAGTAACTGAATAAGGTCCTCCCTAACACTGAAAAAAAGATTCTATTAATTATGATTGTGTGTGTGTCTGTGTGTGTGTGTGTGTGTCCCACAAAAGGACCTGTGTCCTCCCACTTCTTTTTGTAACAATAATTAAATTACTAAAAACAAGTGTTCTTGCTGGGGTGTGCCTCAAGTGGTAGAGTGCTTGCCTAGCACCAGGGAGGCCCTGGGTACAATTTTCAGCACTGAATAAAAGGAAAAACCTACTTTCAAACATTAATCATGATTTTAATCTAGACAATTGCCTTTTTTTTCCCAAGGTAAAGTGGCTGAGAATAAAGATTTTCCAGAGGCAGGGAGAATGCTGTGGAGGGTTTTAGAAGGGCACAGACCAAGCATGGATGCAGAAGAGCTATTCAGGAGATAGTACTAAAGATTTTGGAGAATATTTATATGCCATAAACTGAGAGACAGTGAGGAAATAATGTTCAGATTTCTGGTATGGGCAAATGGGTGATACAGTTTAGGGTGAAGAGAGGAGTTTTTAGGGAAGATGGAAATTAGTTCAAGTTTAAACTTATTTCATTCAATAATGGAAAAACTAGATGAAAATGTTCCAAAGCCAGATGGTAATATGGGTCTGGGGCCAGGATAAAACTTTAGAGATTTGATATGAACAAATGTCTGGTAGCTAAAGCCATAATAGAAACTATAGAAAGAATTCCATCATTTTTTGAAATTACCAAAAACCAGAGGTTTTAGGATTGCTGTTCTGGTATATGTTGCTGTTCTGGTATACGTTAAAGCTAAGTTTATAACAAAAGAATTAAAAATCTCTTACAACAGCCCCCATTTCTATAAAATCAGGATAACATTTATCTTATACAGGTTTTTTTTTTTTTTTTGGTACCAGGTACTGAACTCAGGGACCCTCAACTACGGAGCCACATCCATCCCAAGCTCTATTTTGTATTTTATTTACTATTTTGTATTTTATTTAGAGACAGGGTCTCACTGAGTTGCTTGGCGCCTCACCGTCGCTGAGGCTGGCTCTGATCTCACGATCCTCCTGTCTCAGCCTCCTAAACTATTAGAATTACAGGCATGCACTACTGCACCTGGCTTCTTATATAGTTCTGAAAACAAACACAAAATATCTAACATAATTGAACCCAACAAACAGTGATTGATAATCTTTAAAATCAAAGCCTTTTTACTGCTAAGAACATGACCTGCTGTTATGTACCAAAAGCATATAGTCCTATTAAAACAAAAGTTAAGTGAGGATATTAATCAGTTCAGTAAAGGAGAGGAAGTGCAAAGTAGAAAGGAAAGGTAATTCTTCTGTCCAAAGAATATGGCACCTAAGATTCAAAAGGTGGAGATTCTAGTCCTGGTTCTGACATTCATTAGGTCATCATAGGAAGTCACTTGTTTATGAGTAAACCAGGGATAAAATAACTTCACCAAGCTGCAAACTAAAGAATTAAAATGATTTTAAGAAATTAAGTCTGTGAAAATCCTGTGTTCCTTAAAATAGTAAACCCATGTACTTTACCCAAATTAATTTTTATCTGTTCACTGTCAAAGATTAGCATTGATGGATTTTTTTAGATGTTCTTCTTCCAGTTCGAAGAACTAATAAAAGCTTTTAGCTGGTCCTCAAAAGGATGAGATTTCGTGCACTGAGAAACAAATATAGCCCCTTAAATCTTCTATCATCACCAATTAATCCATCATCACTACAAACTATTTTCTTCACTTGTTACCCTTTACTCAACTTTACCATTTACTTTTATCTTGTATTCTGCTTGACCATAGCATACATTTGTGTGTTTGCTGTGCTACAGTTCTTGGCAGCCTCCTACTAAAAGAGAAAGCTGCAGTTGCTTATGACCACATTTCCACGATATACTGTATCCGGGCACACTAGCCCAGAAAAAGGACCCAGTCTAGGGTTCCTACTTACACAGTCACCATAACTCTCCCAGATAACTCACTAACTATAGAAAGACTAGGATTGTAGCTTGGTGATCAAATGTTTGCCTTGCAGGTATGATGCCATGGTTTCAATCCTGATCCCTACTATAACAACAACAAAAAAAATCAGCCATTATGGTGCTCGAAAACCAAACAAAAACTTCTTGAGTTCTAGTCCTGCCTGGTTTTGCTGACTACTTAATGTGTAATTTTGTTACCGTTTATCTACCTCTTCCTACCTAATAGGATTGTCTTAACAGTCAAATGAAGTAATATATGTGAAAACCCTTTACAATCTAAATCATTCCAAATTGTGTGTCAGGATGTTTTACAATAAAAGTTAAGTTGTTGGGTTTTTTAATTCTGACAAAATTATCTAAATGTTAAACTTCAAACTCATAACTACAGCTTCTAGAATGGATCTATCCAATTGAACATTGTGCAATAACACAGATGTTCTATACCTGCAATGTCCAACAAGGCAGCTGTTAGTCACATGCAGAACTGAGTATTTAAATGTGGCTAGTGTAATTGGTGGACTGCGTCTTTAATTTTATATAACTTTACCTTACACTTCCAATAGCCACACGTAGTTAAGCAGAAACAAATAGCACAGATCTGGAATGAGAACTGGAAAACCCAGTTATACTTCCAAAGTCTATGATAGGAAATACAACATTCAAATCCAAATAATAAAGGTGGGGAAGATAATTCCCATTAAGAAAACAACACTCATGTTCACTTAAATGCTAGTTACATAGATACGTTCAATATGTCCTAATTTATACCCAAGTTTTCAAGAATGCATCCAAGAGAGCACCCACACAGAATGTCAAAGGTATGTAAGAAGAAATAGGGACAAATCCATCCAACTTGTCTTCTCCATGATCTCACTCACAGTTCATGAAACAAAAAAATTCAGTGAGCATGCACCTCAAAACAGGTTCATGGGGGATAAGATGCATCAGTCCCATACTCTCTTCTCAGGTGCCTTCTCAAGAAGAAACTGGAAAAGATAGCATACAAATCCCATATCCTCTCTATCCAGTTCTTGCCTCCTACCACACTACACCCTAGGGTGAGGAACATATAAAAATCTCCACCATACTGCTACAACCTGAAGTTGACTGAATTTTATTTCCAGTAACCTAAGGCATGATTTTGAAAAACAAACATGATGCCAGGCATGGTGGCACATGCCTCTAATCCCAGCAGCTCAGGAGCCTGAGCTGTTTGGCAAGTTTGAGGCAACTTAGTTAAGCAGGGCTCTAAGCAAATTAGCAAGAAACTGTCTCAAAATAAATTTTTAAAGAGCTGGGGAGATAGTACAGTGGTTAAGTGCCCCTAGGTTCAATCTCTATTACCCTCCCAAAAAATCCCAAGAATAAAAAATTCCAATGTTTTGGGAAATTTTTTCAGATCTTTTTCAACATTTAACACAAAATCCTCAACACTATCAGCCTAAGAAGCAGCAGCAGCAGCTGCTGCTGCTGCTGCTAACACAAGGCATCCACTGACCTCTCAGTATCTGCCAGGCACAAGACTACCTTCATCACCTGTATTATCTCACATAATTGAGGATTGTTCCTACCACAGGAGAAAGGACCACTGGCAGGTCAGATCAGAATTTCCCATTGTTAAAGGGCTGGAACCTTCCAGAAAACTGAGCACAGAAGCCCCCCCCCCCTCAAACCCCAATTCTTGAGATCAAGACAAAAAGATTTCAGACAGGTCCTTCAGAGTAACAGGTATGAGTTTATTAGATGGGATGGGAAAGGAGGATACTCTCAAGGCCAAGAGTGGGTCCTCTCAGGAGAGGAACAGGATGGCTCTCCTGCACTCCAATTTTATTGCGGATCCCAGAGGAGTTTCTAAAGGGTCCAGCCCAGGTCCACATCTTCACTTTTGACCAAGAGCAGGATGACTTCAGACTTTCACGTCCCCACTGCCACAACTCTAGATCACTTTGGCCCAGCCTGATGGATTCTAAATTAGATTCTTAATCAAAAATTCTTACAGGTTTTATGGTTAGACGGAATTATCCTTATCTCCCTGAGTTCCAGGATCTGGGTCATGAAAAGGGTCACAAAAGTCTCCCACCTCACAGTAACTTGGGTTCCTCTCAGGGACATTATTTCAAGTCTGCATTTCTCCTGCTGATACCAGGTAGTTAGATGAGGAAGGCGACATATCCTGTCCACTTAGGCTGCAGGCAAATTGCTTCTTGGAAAAAACAGCATGTGGGAAGACAGCACAGTGGGCCCATTTTATATAATTATTCCCTTATGTTCCCAGCACCCGTATTTGTTCCCTTACCACTATGAAGGTCACTGCCAGTTCAGGGCAAAGGTTACCGTGATTCCAAACCACTATAGGAACCAGCAGTGGCAAGTTGCTAGTTTCTCCCCAGACACAGGAAGAGCTGGAAAAGAAAACTGGGGGTCCCAGATCCCCATTTCCCCCCAGACCTGGGTGGTTAGAGGAGGAATTTCGTTTGAGGGCAGAAGGAGGCGACACCAACCACTTTCAGGACTGAGCGGCCCACAGGGCTCGGGAGGAGGCGGAGCGAGGGACGGGTGTCCCTGGAAGGACCCCGCACGCAGGCGCCAGGCGAGGACCCGGCATCGCGAAATGCGGCCTACGGAGCGCAGCCCCCAGCCAGGACCCCAATGTCCGCCCGCGCCTCACCTGCTCCGCGCCGACACGCTCAGCGGCCGGCTTGCCCGCGCGCCGCCGCCCAGGCCCGGCCCCGGCTTCCCCAGCAGGCCGCTGGCCCCCGCATGGGGTCCGGCGAGGAGCAGTGGGCGGCGGGCCGAGCCACCCAGGGCTGCGGAGGCGATACGCAGGAGCCGGGAACTCCCCGCGGCGGCCATGGCCCACGGTCGCTAGCTGCTGGATGGACGCAGGCCGCCCCAGCGGCGCGGAGGTGAAGGCTCGGCGAGCTGGGCGGAAGGACGCCCGAGGGCCGCGGCGGGGGGCGGAGCGTCTGGGCACAATCTGCTCTCTGCGGCCGCCTGCCGTAGACTCCGCGCGCCTAGCTCGTGACCTATAAAGCCCTAGGTGCGGGGAGCCCGCTCGGCCCCGCCCGTGTCCACGCCTCCGGGGCGGTCTCTCCTCCGGGCCGGGCTGGAGCTCGCAGAGCTCACCCACCGGTCAGTTTTGAGTTAACCTGGAAGCTTCTCAGCGTTTTAGAGTTGCCAGGCAGAAGTGATCAGTTCGAAAGCAGAACGTGTGGCAGAAAGATAAGTAAAACAACCTGCAGTTAACCAAGACCACTCCGCACTGTCCCGCACTTCCTCCCCAGCGCCCCCCCCCCAATCCCGCCAAAAAACAATGCAGGCAAAGATAACATTACTTTACAGCCGAAGGGAATACTGGGCATTGTCCAACAAGAACAGTAAAAAAATGTTAGAAATTTTCAGAATGCCAATAGGTATTATACAGAAATAATTATGAATATAAAATTATAAGTCATCACAATAATGAATAGATTTAGGGCCACTGGTGAAAACAGGTAATAAGCCTAGGCCTGGACTGAAAATAAATGCTTAATGCGCATATGAAATCCACGAGACTTTAACAGGAAATCTTTTGATGAACTGAGATTTCTAAAAGACTTAGGAAATCCCGAAAGATGAATTTTAAAATACTCTTTATCACAGTTAATACATTATGGGAAAAGAGGCTTTGATGTCAGAAATAACAAACGTCCAAATCCAAGGTCTGCCACTTAGGCAATCTGAGACCTTGGATAAATTAATCTTTTTCAGGATCAGAGTTTTTCCCTACTTCATGGATAAGATAGTTCTTGCTTCACGGCGGTTCTGAGGTTGGACGAACTAACACGCACAGTGCACGGTGCGTCACAAACCACAAGCAATAGATCTTTCCAGCTGAAATAGTACTCTTACAGCAGGCGATATCCACAAGGCCAAAAGTGGCTATTGCAAATATGCTAAAACACGATAAAAGATATTTTAAAGAATATTCAGAACAAAATAGCTTGAAGCAGACCAGAAACCCCCACACGCAGAGACATTTACCATAATTAAGCAGAAATCTCCACCGTATTTGTAACATATAAGTTCCTTTTCTTGTCAGAAAGCTTTAGAATAGAAAATAAGCAAAAAATTCTTCAAAAAACTCAGTGTGGGATAGGACTTCTATTTGTGAGGACTAAGTTGCTGAATCTTGCAAAAGCTAAGTTTGGTTGCAGGCTTGATGATGTTACTTCTGCTTTTGTAATAAAACCTGTAAGACCCCTGACTAATCTAAAAAATAAAATAAAATGAAAAAGCACTCGTCATGAAAACTTTAAAACCCCTCCTCCCACTGGGTATAAAGTTCAAAGAATTTCCAGACTCGAGGTCCAGAGAATTTTTTAGGTGATAGCCCCTCTGGACCCTGCAGCCAATAAACCTGCTTCCTAAAAATTCCCGGGTTGTCCAGCCTCTTCTGTCCTACATCAAGCTGAGTAAGAATCTTTCCAGGCGATATAAAGAACATATTGGACCTGATAGCAGAGAGAAGAGTCATCGGGCTCCTTTAATTGCCTCAGTCTTCAGATCAAGAAAAAAGTAAGTGCATTAGAAAGGGCACAACAAACCTTAGCAAGAGGTTCTAAAATAACAGTTGACTTTTATTTATAAAGATTAAATCTCCAAAGTCAGATGATTTAATTATAGAAAATTGGAAGAAAAGTTGCATGTTACTTCTCCTCTCAGCCTTACTATAGTAAATCCAGCTTTGGCTTGGTCATGGCACAGTGTTCTGCTTTCAAGGGCATTTCTTTGTATGCACAATAGTTAGTTATCTTAGTGGCCTCTGCGATTCCAATACACAGTGCATATTAAGGTCTTGAGCATATTAAGGTTCAGTAAGTATTCGTGAATAAATGGTATCATGTGTTTCATTAGTAAACAGCAGGATTCATTAGGTATGTGCATTGAAGTTAAAGAGGGAAAAATGTTCTCCAAATTTTCAAAGGTGGGTGAAGGTTTTCAAAAGATTGCAATTACAAATATTAAGCAGAATTTCAGGGATATTGCTGAGCATAAGGTTCAGGAACACAGATAAAGCAATATGGAATTACTGCAGATGTGCTTTTACTTATCTTTTTGCTTTTATATTTTCTTATCTATAAACTCCCACCCCCACTCTATCTTTTACTCCTGTTAAATTGTTAGGGTTTGGGATCTGGAAGGTCTCCCAAAGGCTCATGTGTTGAAGTCTTGGTTCAAAATGCAGCAATGTTCAGAGGTGGAGATTTGAGGAGGGGATTGGCTCATGAGGTCGCTGACCTCAGCAATGGATTAAAATCCTTCCTGGCTATCAGAAGGTGAGCATCTCTCCTCTACCTTGACCTTCCACCATGATGTTCTGCCTGATTTAGGCCCAAAGTAATTAAAGCCTGCCGGCCATGGACTGCAACCATGAGCCAGAATAAATCTTTCATCTTTTAAGTTGTTTATGTCAGGTCTAACACACAAATCCATTCATATTTTGATGTTCTACAGGTAATTTATAAGCAGTATATTAAATCAAGTTAAACATATCTGTCTCCTTAAATATTTATCATTTCTTTTTTTTAAATATTTTTTAGTTGTTGGTGGACCTTTATTTTATTTATTTGTATGTGATGCTAGGAATTAAACCCAGTGCTTCACACATGCTAGGCAAGCACTCTACCACTGAACTACAACCCCAGCCCTATTTATCATTTCTTTATGGTGAAAACTTTAAAAATCCCTCTAGCTTTTTTAAATGTACAGTACATTATCATCTATGATCACCTTACTATGCTATAGCAAATTAGACCTGATTTAACATTACACAATTTATACATATGTCAAAACATAGTACCTCATTATATGGAGTATAGTTATATTTTTATGTATTAGTTGTAAATTAATTTATAAAGAACAGAAATTTACTTTTTTTCACAGTTCCAGAGACTGGGAAGTCCAAAATCAAGATGCCAGCAGGTTTAGTATCTGGTTAGGATCCAGTCTTTGCTTCCAACACAGCACTTTGTTACTGTGTCCTCACATACACAAAGGGTAAAAGCAAAAGTACCTAGTTAGTTCTGTCTAGCCCTTTATAAAGGTGTTAGTTTGTTCCATGAGGGTGGACTCCTTGTGACTTAATGCATCCTGTTAACCCCACCTCTTACTACTGTTGTATTGGAGATTACATTTAAATGTGGATTTTAGAGGGAACCAAACATTCAAATCATAGATTTTTTTCTCTATTTCCATCTTTCTAATTAAGCCATGCCTATTTATACCAACAAATCATCTCATTTTCTTTTGAACACCCAAGACCTTTGTTTATTCTCATGAAATGCATTGTATCCATTGTTTTGAATGGGATAATGTTTATGAAAAAATGCTTTCTAAAGTGCAAAATGCTATTTTAAAAACAATGTTTATTGAACACCTACTATGAGCTTCATGGCATTTTTTCTTTCTTCACACATAATCTCTGTAACTCCTCTAGACTGAAACTCCCAAAGAGTAGGGGTGCTATGTTATTCATCTTCATATCCTCAGGACCTAGCACAGGTCCCTGCTCAGGAAAGACATTTAATGTCTTTTAAAGGAATTTATCCCATTTATTTTCAGCAACTCTGTATGGTAATTATGCTTTAAATCAGTAAATACGTATTGACATCAGAAGTGTGTAAATGACTATGTTAGTGCTGGAGACATAGCAGTGAATAAAACAATTTCTGCCCTCTTATTATACACATGAGAAAACTTGTTACTGTGCTAGTGACTCTCTTAGAAGGCATACTGCTAGTAAGTAGTTGATTCAAAATACAAACCTAGGTCTTCTCAGTCCCAAGACTGGGCCATAACAAAAAATAAGATGATGCTGTTAGTATTATTGTATGTGTTTTTCCAATGCATATTCAATAATAAATGAAGATTCTATACCATCCACATAACTTAGGAATAAGGTCAGAAAGTATTACCTGAATTTTCTTTTTTCAAGGCTTTCTATTTTATTCATTCATTCATTCATTCATTCATTCTTTAGTGCTAGGAATCAAACCCAGGGCCTTGCACATGCTCTACCGCTAAACTACATCCCCAGCTCCTCATCTAATTTTTTTTATATTTATTTTTTAGTTGGACACAATATTTTATTTATTTATTTTTATGTGGCACTGAGGATCAAACTCAGGGCCTTGCACATGCTAGGCAAGCACTCTACTGCTGAGCCACAACCCCAGCTCCTGATTTTTTTTTTTTTAAAAAAGCATGTAAGTAGACTTAAATAAATTTCATTCCAAGAAATTACCATTCCATCCCAAGGTGATTTTTAAATATTGCTGAAGATTTTGATGAGCAAATTTTTTACACTTAAAGACACAGCTGGTATTTAAATATATTGCCATATTAGTTGTATTGATCTCCCTGCTTGCCCTCTTGTCTTGCTCTTGGGGAATATACAGTATGTGATGCTCTTTATTCAACCTTCACGTGTTTCTTTTTAATGATCTTTGGAAAAAAAAAACATGTAACAAAAACATTTAAGTTCCGTGTCGTTATAAAAGATTTCTACCGTAGTATATTCATTCTCTATTGTTGCTGGAAATTTCACTCTTTTCTGGTTCTGTATGTCAGAAATCAGAGATAGGACTCAGGGCTAAAGTCAAGGTTTCAGCAGTGACTCACTCTTTTCCAGAGCTCTAGGATAGAATTTGTTTTCCTGCCTTTTCTAGCCTCTGGAGGCTGCCTGCATTCCTTGGTTCACTTCTGTCATCTTCAAAGTCAACAGTAGCTGGTGGACTCCTTATCTGGCATCTTTCTGAATCTTCTTCCTTTATCTTCTCTGACTTCAGCAGGAAAGCTTCTCTGCTTTTAAAGATTAAAGTGATTAGTTTGGGCCCATCCTGATAATCCAGGATAATCTCCCATCTCAAGGTCCCTATCTCTAATTATTATCTGAAAAATCCCTTTTGCCACGTAAGGTAACATA